TTCACCCACGAAAGCTCATGCTCCAATACGTCTGTTAGTCTATAAGGTGCCACAGGACTCTTTGCTGCTTTTACAGATCCAGACTAACACGGCTACCCCTCTGATACTATTCTTTTAAAGCATGTCAGACAGTGTCTTTTTTCAAGTTAAATTAACTATAACATTCACTTCTGTTTCTTAAACTCATTAGACTTTTAGTGGTGAAATCAATGGCAAAACTCCCAAGACTGCAAAGGGGCCAGGATTTTATCCTTAATATCTTGTACGTTACAAAAGAAAAAACATTCAGAAAATAAAAAATGTTAAAGGTTAATCCTTTGCTTTCTGTTGCAAGGTCTGGTAAAAATATTTTAGAAATTTGGGCCCTGATTCTGCAATGAGCTCTGCCCAGGTAGACCCCTATGCACACATGAAGCCACATCAATTTCAATGGGTTCCAAGAAGAGCTCATTGCAGGATTGGAGTCTAAGTTACACAAAGGACAATAAATATGGACAGGCAAACATTCCAATTGTATGAATTACCCTTGTGGAATTCATGTTGCTGTCTAACCATCTGTCCAACATCATGTCTTTTTAAAAGGAAGGCACTCACTCTCTCTCGCTAATTCCCCTTTTGGAAATGAATTTTAGTGGTCCAGATTCTTGGGTGTGGTGGAGCTAAGTTTGGTGTAGCCCAAGAAAAGCAAAGATGGCTGTGTGCCAACTTTGTGTCGCCTGGATTCTGGAAGCGACCACAGAACAGGAGCCTCAAGGGCTGTTCTAGCTGATGCTGTGCTGCAATGGTTCCCTATAGAGCTATCCAGCTGCATGGATTAGTTGAAGCACTGTATAAAGAAATTACTCACAGGCACAATGTTAAGCATGTGCAAGCGTGTATGTAGGATTGGGGCCTAAAGCAGCATTTTTCCTCATTATTTAGCAATTACTCACCTTATAAATCCAGCTGAAATGAATTTGCTAGTAAGATCTGCAGAAACTGTATTTAATGTGAAGTTCCACACTTCTTCTGGGACATAAAAAACATGAAGCTCTACCAACTAAATGCAGTGAGAGAAGATTATCTCAGTTATAGATATACAGTAAGCATTTAAGTAATACAAATATTGACACAGGGTGTCCACCAAAAGGATTTATATAACAAAACAAAAAACAGATGGCATAATATTCATAAACCACTGCATTGTTCATTCTGGTGTAGGTTATATACTGTTGCCCGATCCTGTCACTGTCTTGTTAATTTCGACTCTAAACTCTTTAGGGAAGGATTTGTCTCTAATTCTATGTGTGTACAGTGTCTAGAAAAATGAAGCAGCATGACTGGTCCCTAGGCACTATCATAATAAAGATGATAAATGAATATGCCTCAAAATGCTTTTATGGACATGGCAGATTTCAAACAATTTGATCCAAATTAGATTAAATATATACACTTTTTAATGCACACAAGGCTTTTACTTGGTATCAGTGAACCAGCTATTTAAATAATAACATTTAGACTTGCAGAGTCAGGTAGATTTTCAAAGTACTGTATAAACATGGTTAAAATCATTATCAGGTAGTCAGTTATACAGGCTTTGGACTGCTAGCAGAAAGGAGATTCACAATAAAATAATAATAATAATGGACCAAATACGGCAGTATTAACTTAGAAATTTCCCAGTGATAGGATTTGGCTCACGAATAAGAAAAAGAGCTAAAGTGCTGACAAATGTCAGCCATGGAATAATTATCAATGATATCTTGTAAAACATTTTTTCCCTGATTGTGGAGATTCACTTTTGCAAATTAGAATGCTTCGGTAAAACTATAGAGTTGGGTCCAATATCTCCTTTCTGCACCTTACAAACCTCACTCATTTTCATTTTATAAAATTATAAATGTTTTCTATATTAATAAAAATACTAATACAGACTCAAGACCAGCAGAGGAGTTAACATCTCTGAGTCATTGTTTGCAGACTCATGCAGACATTATATCAATTTACACTTGGCTCACGTTTGGCAGGCTCTCTCTGCAATCATAAATTCTAGAAAATTACTTTAAAAAAGGAAGAAAGAAAACTTGGGTTCAGCACAATTTGAATATTTCATGTGGGCCACATAAATAATCATGAGGGCTGGATTTAGACTGCATGCATTTCAATTGACAGCATATTCAGTGTGGAAATTTTTCACAGAAATAATGTTGGAACTATTTTATCTTTAGAAGTCAGGGCAGAGGAGGAGCCGTGCTGCTGTTGGATGTTACTCTGCTAGCAATGATTAGAACTGATTGGAAATACTTGAAGTTCTCAGGGACACAAGTGACCTCCCAAAATCTGCAGAGCTCTAAGAGCCTGTTGCAAAGGCCACTGAAGTCAATGCAAAGGCTTCTATTAACTTAAATGGACTTGGATCAGGGCCTCAGTATAAAACTGTGTGTGGAGAAGCTTCCATGTGCTTGTGTTGAGGGAAAGTGCCCAGTGCTTAATTTGTAATGAAAGAGGTGCTGGGAATCAAGCAATTTATTTACATGCATAACTGATGCAGCAAGCCCAGAAGTGCCAGGGCTATGAACTGCCAAGCCTATAGGTGCCAGGCTCAGCCCTGGCACAAATTAATCACTGTCTCTACTGCCTTGCATCTTGTGTATTTATATACACTTTTCCAGATCAGAATGCTGGCATTTTACAGCTACTTTGCATGGGTGTAAATGGCTACACAAAGTGTAAGGCAATGGAAAATCAGGCCCTTTATGCTCTAGCTTTACTCCTTGCCTCCACTCTGAGCCATGCAACAGAAAGGAGTGTAGGGCCCACCATTAAAATACATTCGTCTTATTAATGACAAATACACACTGAGGTCCTGACAACACCAGGGAAAAATTTCAAAACATTTCCAGGTTTCTAACAATTACAGCAATAGTCCAAGTACTCAAGTGCACAGGCCAGTGGCTGTTGAAACCACGATTGGACCTGAACTGAGGAGGGTTAGGTGACATTATGCTTAAAACTGTGATGACCATGGGAGCCCTGTTGATAGCTGAGCTCCCAATATTGCTATCTTTGATGCAGCTGAACCAGTGTTAGCAATAGTGGGAAATTTTTGGAAAAGTTTCCTTGTGTATATGTGGCCTATATAAACAGCCAGCACAAATAAGCTTTAGTGAATATTCCTATAAACTTTTGGGTATTAAATATAAACTAGACTTTGAATGGTTTTTCATGTACTCGTCTTTAAAATAAGCGGATATTTTCTTCACACATCTGCCAGAAAATGTTGCATGGCAGCAATTTTCACAATTTAGAACAGTTATACAGATTTTCTAAAATATTCAGAGCAAAAGTTCTCACCTCTGATGTTGGCGGTCTATTTTGACTGAATGACATATTCACTGGTGCCTGTATTGGGTGTCACTGAATTCCGGATGGATTTTTAAATTTCTTTTGTATCTTAGCATTACTTAACAGTATGGGTTATGATAAATCCTGTAAGTCAAAAATGGTATTCCATTCAGTTTGAATCTGTTTCCACTTCATACAAAAGTTTGAGAAAAAAGCAGCAGAGAGCTTGTAAGTAAGTTCTGGATTCAGGCTGAAGGCTTTGCTTCCAGAAAAACCGGAAGATAAACTGCAAAGAGCTAAGTATTGACTAGTAGGCTTAATACTCCCTTTGATGTGAACACACCTTCTATACAACTAAATATCACCTAAGTAACCCAGTGAATTGCATAATTGCAGTTGGGCAACTAAGGTTTGCATTAGTATTCTGAGTAACATTTTCCATTCTTCTTTCATCAAAAAGTATTTAATTACTGTATATAGTTATCTATATATTTCTACAGTGCATCTAACAAACACAAGATGTATTTCTTTCAGTGTCTGGATTTATTTTGGGTAGATGGGCAAGAATGGCAGAGTCTGAAGCCATGCAGTCATTCAGAACCAGTGACATTTCAGCATGCATGAGTCAAAACAGAAAAGTATTCCAAGGACACTTGGCTTCATCCATAAAGCAAGAGAGGATGTGGGAATGGGCAAGTCCCTGTATCATTAATCCTACCTACAGATATGCACATTTCGAACTGTAATAATTTCTCCACTGATTCCAATACCCAGATTTTTCATGCTATTTAACTCTCATTTTAGCAGGGTATTGAACCATCAATGCATTGTTTCCCATAAAGACTTCCTGTATCAGTGTTGGAAGCTGACAAATCTGATTGGTAACAGGACACATCTTATCTAGACTGGTAAAAGCAAATGCCTGGTCAAACCAGAATAAAGGTTGTTTCTTGGCCTGGGTACAAGGTTCAACATCAAAAAGGCACGTACAACTTCCTTTTACACAACACTTGCTTTAGGTCCTTTCCTGCCATAAATATTCACTACTTGGCACGTTGCTGACAAGTACCAAATGTGCTAGTATAGACAGGCGATGATTAGTGCTTCTGGTTTTTTTAGTTTATTAATTTAATTTGGGGAGGATTATTTTTATCAATTTTTGAATTTTATGTAGATGTCCAAAAATCAGGGTTTTTCATGGCTTTCTCTTTGTATATATTATATATATATTACTCATTACAGTCATATATGCCTCATTACAGTCATATATGCTGTAATGAGTAATCTCTTTGTAATGTTCCCTAGTGGGCATCAGCAGGGTCTACAGAGACCAATTAATGCTGCAATATGTTAGTGTGCATTACAAATCACACCTCCCATAGTCTGCATTCTGCTCCATGTAGACAAGCCCTCAGACACAAGTAACCTTTTCTGGTGTTTATTGGATAAACACCAATTTAATTTGTTTTGCATCGGGGTGTTTTATTTGTGTTTATTGGTTAAAACCTAAATTCAGAAGCCCTACTTATGATTAACAAACAGAGACAGACAAATTATCATTAAAAGGAGAGAATTGAATGTCTGTTTTTTATTTCCAGTTCTGCCCTTCATTGAGTTCTGATCCTGATTTCAGTAGTTTTACCTGAGTAAGAATAACAAGGTCACTTTGATCAGACCCCTCTTGTGAGACATTAGGAGAGTCACTTAACAGCTCTGTGCCTCAGTATCCCTATCACTAAAACAAAAATAATAATTCTCACCTGCCTCCCATGGCTGCTGAGTCTTCATTAATGATTGTTCATAAAGTGCTTTAAGATCCTCAGTAAAAAGACTTGAAAAGTGCAAAGTATTCTTCTTCCTCTTATTCCATTTAGACTGCAAACACTGTTTACATTTTTCACTGATGACTGAGATTACCATATCTAATGGTTCCTTTAAAACAACAGATTTAATTGTCTCCTCCGGCCCTTGTCCTAAAAACCACGAATTCTCCAATCTTGTGTTTTACATGGATATAATTTTCTATCACTATAAAACCAACCAAACAAAAAGCCTACGCTTACTGTACCACTCACCCCAGTGCCTTTGTTCTACATATTCCTTCCTTCCTTCTTTCCTCCCTCCCTGTCTATCCCATTGCTTTGTCAAAGTAAATCCAGATTGTAAGATCTTTGGCCAAGAACCTCAAAGGTATTTAGGTTCCTAACTTCTATTGAAATCAATGGGATTATAAAATGGCCAATAATTGTACAGCATATCTATTATCAAATAATATAGCACAGTTGTGTAGTTACCATCTTTTTCTAGAATAAGGGATTTAGAACCAGGTGTCAAAAGGTTTTAGATGAGAACTGATGTTTTTCAGCACAAAAAGAAAATCTACAATATCTATTCATCTTTTGTTGTCTAAATTAATTGCAACAAACTCAAAATGCATCTAGTTAATGGGAGTCCTTTAAAATAGTATTTTTTCCTATAAACATCTGTTGAAATTAGTTTGAAATGTTTAGGTCAATTTATCTGAGTGAGGAGCTAATTTTATTCTGACTCATCACAAGCATTATTTTATAGTATAAAACTCTCTAGGCCTGGATACATTATTTTCTCCCTAAATCCAAAGTAAAAAAAAACTTTTTCCATTTTGTCTCCATTTTAGGGGAATTTCTCCAGAAATTACTTGGAAGCCACTAGAGAAATGCAAAGTCCTAAACCCACAATATATAGTGGGAACATTATACGCCAGGGATTGAAACTTTGTTTTACTATTCACCTTATTTTTCTCAGAAATATTGAATTATAAATCAAATACTCAAAATCCGTGAAAACCCTAATACAAAACTGTATACTAATGTATACTTGTAGAACTAACTGTTCACCATCCTAAAGGCAGGGTGGGTGAGGTAAGATCTTTTATTAAGCCAACCTGTGTTGGTGAAAGGATAAGCCAGTTTAAGCAGTACATGAACTCGAACCAAGCAGGAGTAAGTCACTAGTGCCAGAGGGGCACTCCTAGGAACCATGTTCTTCTGCTGGTTCAAATATAGTGAGGGAAGGAGATTGCGGTTTTTGGCCGACTTTGCCACAGGCTTGTGTGATCTCGTCTTAGGCAAGTTGCAGCTTCTCCTTCCCCATATGTAAAATGGGCTGTTACTCCAAAGGGGAGCAGGGTGGGAGGCTCCCTTCATTAGTAGATCTAGGAAGCACTTTGGGATCGTTGGCGAGCAGGTGCCACAGAGCCGCAAGTTTCATTCTTATCTCGTACATTTCTTGTTCAGTTTGAGTTACTGTATTTACCCTGCGCTAACGGCATTGCCTTGCCCGGGCCGAGGGAAGGGTTTCCTGGGTAACGGTCCCTTTTCAAACACCGCCGGGCGAGCAGAGGCCCTGCACCACAGAACCCCCGGGTGGGTCACTAAGGAGCCACGATTACCGTCACTGACGCCTGCTCACCCTTTGTTCCAGGGGCCGGAGCAAATCCAGCGGAGGCGCTGAACCCCGACCCCGGGACACCTGGCGCTGGGGTGGGCCTGGGACGGGGGCATGGCCACGATAGAAGGACCTAGGGAGCTACGCCGCTATCGGGACACCTATGGGACTGTATCGTGACAGTGGCGTCATTTCCCTTAGGCCCCGCCGCCCCCGACCCCGCAGCAAACCCTGGCTGCCTGGGCTGGGGCAGCCCCGCTGCGGCGAGGCGCTGAGCGCGGTCACAGCGCCCCCTCGGGCTGGACCGGGCCGGGCGCGCCGCCCTCGAGCCAGGGCGGCGGTTGCGCAGGCGCCGGGGGCAGTTTGGGAAGCGCCGGAAACTTCGTGCTAAAGTTCCGAGCAGCGCCTGGCTCCGCAGCCCGAGCCCAGCCGCTACCCGCGCGCCATGTCGGGCTCCTCCAGCGTGGCGGCCATGAAGAAGGTGGTGCAGCAGCTGCGCCTGGAGGCCAGCGTGAGCCGCGTGAAGGTGGGAGAGGCCGCGGGGCGCCCGGCCGGGCCGCCGGTGCCGCGCCCAGGCCCCGCGCCTGAGGGGCAGAGCTGCCGCCCGCCCCGCCCACCGGCCCCCCCCCCCGGGGCGGCGGGCGGCCCCCGTCGGGGGCGGGCGGGCCCCCCCCCCCCCCCCCGGCCCCTGTGCCCAGCTGTCTGCGCGTGCCCTGCCCCGAACCCGCCCGGGGCCCCGCAGCGCAGGCCCGGGCCGCGGGCGGGTCGGCGCTACAGGCTGTTCTCGTACGTGGGGCCAGACTCGCCCCACGCGCAGGGCTGCTGTGCCGGGCAACTCGGGGCGTTCACAGCGGCCGTAGGCTGAGCACGCCCCAGCCGCTCACTTCCTAATCCCGGGGTGCTCTGTGCTGCAGGGCGGAGCTGCCGCCTGCCTGAAATGCTGCTGTCTGAGCGGGCGGGATTGCACCAGCTGGGCACCTTCCCCCAGAGACCCGCCGTAACTTAAGGTGTCCTGCGGTGCGGAGTCTCTCCCCCCTGCCGCCTCACTGGAAAGGACTCGTTCAGCCTGGGCCTGGGATAGTCAATTAGCTTCGGTCAAGAGCCAAACTGCAGAGAAAATAATAAAAGCCCGGGCCCGTTCCCACTGATCTGGGTTTGGCCCACGGTCCGCCTATTGACTGCCCCGGTCTAGGCTGCTGCAGGCCTCTCACCCGTTTTGATTATTCAGATATAAAATGGAGACGTTCCTAGAGCCCTCGCATATGCTGAGTGCGCATCATCTGTGGACTTTCAGGCTAGGATAGGCCTTGTGTTAAATTGGCAAGCTACAGTTTGCAGATCTCCTTTCAAAATAAGTAATTGGGGAGACATAGCCAGCTATGTTTTCATTTTACTTCTATGTTTTCATGTACCTACAACCTTTTGTAAAAAAAAAAAAAAAAAAATGGGCTTTTCATGTGTTGTCTCATCCCGAGAATGTTTTCCTGATAGAGAGGAATGGGAGAATAAAGTTAGTTTATCTGAGGTGGGGTGTCAGGGCATGCAGCCACAATTGTTTTTTCTCAAAAATGAGGGCTATTCTTATTTCATGGGGAAAGCTTAACAAATGTGTAAAGCAACCTTCAGGCTAAGATAGAGAGGGTTTTTTTTTTGTTTTTTGTTTTAAATTTATTTGGTGGTGGACTTGCAGACATGTTAGTTAAGCATGACACAGCATCAAGAATGATTTCAAACAGTGATTCTCAACCTTTCCAGACTACCAGTCTGATTTGTCTTACAAACCTGTTTCACCTCACTTAAAATCTAGTTGCTTACAAAATCAGACACAAAAATACGAAGGTGTCACAGCACACTAGTACTGAAAATTTGCATACTTTCTCATTTTTACCATAGAATTATAAATATTGTACTTACATTTGTGTATAGCATAGAGAGCATTTATATAAGTCATTGTATGAAATGTGTACTGATTTCACTAGTGCTTTTTCTGTACCCTGTTGTAAAACTAGGCAAATAGTTGATATACCCCCTGGAAGATCTCTGCAATACCCCTGGTTGAAAACCACTTATTTAAAATTCTTCACCTGAGTGGCAGAAGGCTTTTCCCTGCTTGCTTTGGTCCAGATAGGGTGACCAGACAGCATGTGTGAAATATCGGGATGGGGTAGGGGGTAATAGGTGCCTTATAAGATAAAGCCCCAAATATTGGGACTGTCCCTATAAAATCAGGACAGCTGGTCACCTGGGGTCCAGATAAAATAATATGTCAATGCCCAGATACTGGAAGGTTTGGCCAGAATAAATTTGGCTTTGTTTTCAGCCACTACTCCCACTTAATTCAAATGCTTAAACTCTTTTGGGGAGGGACTGTGTCTGAAGAGTTTGCACAGTGACCTCCACATTGTCACCTCACTCTGATTGAGTCCTCTGTCTACAACTATAATACAGATAAATACCACTTCTAGGATCATCACTTTGCTTAGTTTGGAACTGAAAATTTTTACAGTGGGTGGATTTTTCACATTCTTGAGGGCATATATAGATTCCTTTAGCAATGTATTTATACAAAATGGTATACTAACATATCTCTTGTTATTCTTAAGAAGGCTTGTCTTCAGTGTTAGCTTAAGTTATCAAGTTCACACTTATTCAAATGAGGAGTTATCACACTGCAAAACATTAGAGCAGCACAATAGGATTGGATTAGCAGCATGGAGTAGTTGAGTCCCCACTTACTAGTTTTAGCAACACCTGAGCTTCAACCTATACACTGCCAAATCAGCCACCTCAAGTTAAAAGCACCACTTTTCTGAAGCTAGAGACTTGTCTGTGCGCAGGAGCTGGGTTAGGGTCAACACTTGTTATAACTTGAGCTAACCCTGTAGTGAAGACAAGCCCTTAGAAAAAGTATAAAGTAAAACTGTTTTGGGGCTTGCATTAGGTGGCAGACACTGGTGTATGATTGCATGTCTTGTAAAAATTACCCATAGTGTGTTAAATGCTACTTCAGCTTGAGGAACCTGTATGTATAGTAGCCAAGAGCTGATTTTCAAAAATGTGCTGAACTGTGCACCTAGTATCTGAAGACAAGACCAACTCCCTTAAAATAGAGTATTACTGAATGCGATAGTTTTTCTGAACAAAAACTAAAATGCAAGTGTTTTGTGTGTAATAAAATCTAGCTGTACTGAAAACAGCACCTTCCATACACTACAAGATAAAGTATTTGCTGTGAATGCTAATTTAAAATTTACTTTATGACTAGGTTTCTCAAGCCGCAGCAGACTTGAAGCAGTTCTGTCTGCAGAATGCACAACATGATCCCCTACTGACAGGAGTGTCTTCAAGTACAAATCCATTCAGACCCCAGAAAGTCTGTTCATTTTTGTAATTTGGTGAACTATCTTGGTCTCTTTCAGTGGTAAGTTTTTAAACTATAAAAAATGATACAAGTTGCTCAGTGGTTTGAGCATTGGCCTGCTAAACCCAGGGTTGTGAGTTCAATCCTTGAGGGGGCCATCTTGGGGAAAAAATCTGTCTGGGGATTGGTCCTGCTTTGAGCAGGGGGTTGGACTAGATGACCTCCTGAGGTCCCTTCCAACCCTGATATTCTATGATTCCTGTTTGCTCTGATAAAATAATCTGTCATCAGGTCATTCATTTAAAATGTATACAACATTCATTATGGAGTATATTTTTAAAAAGTTCTGACTTTTCAGTAAACTTTTCAACTAAAATATACTGCTCATTTCCTCACCAAAGAAAAGAATTTAGTGCTAGTGAACAATATCCTATTTGCCAGTCCTAAAGTCTTTTGTCCATGGAGCAGGTAGAGCAGGGGTTTTCAAACTGGGGGTTGTGACGCCTCAGGGGGTCATGAGGTTATTACACGGGGGATCGCAAGCTGTCAGCCTCCACCCCAAACCCTGCTTCGCCTCCAGCATTTATAATGGTGTTAAACATATAAAAAAGTGTTTTTAATTTATAAGGGTGGTCGCACTCAGAGGCTTGTTATGTGAAAGGGGTCACCAGTACAAAAGTTTGAGAACCACTGAGGTAGAGCATGGATTCTGGCAGTGTAAGATTCTGTTCTACACTAAGCTTTTCCTGAGACTTACACCCAAGAATTAAGATGCAGTGGTAATCAATTCCTTTTCCTACTCCACTCAAAAACCCCCCCCTACCCCTTCCTTGTAATAAGAATTTAAATTTTATTTCCAAGTCCCAGCCCCTACCATCACAACTTGGGGTGGGACTGAAACATCTGTTTCTGCAGACATCACAAGCAGAAGTCCTTAGGACAACAGTTTAGGCATTCTACCTGTAAAAGAGAGGTTTCTTTTCCTGTAACCTCCCCAAACAGCAAACTTTATGGGGAGACCCCTACTTTTTTTTTTTTTTTTTTTGGATGAGCCAGAAAAGTTAGCAACACTTGGAGGCAGTAGCTACCACCTCTCACCCAATACATAGTCTGGGTATCTCCAAGTGGAGGTGGTGTTTAGAAGAGAGAGTTTGCAACTATTTTTGCTGTAGAATAATTTATTTTCTCTGGTCAACCAGTTCAGACCACTGAGTTTAATAGATTCAGCTCCCAGGAGAATGAGCCCCCTATTCACTTGTACAAGTTGGATTCTGCCTTTAGTCCCTGCTGTATAACATCCTACCTGGGAGAATTTACAGTATATAAACTTCTGAGAGTGATGGCAATGAAAACAACCCTTTGTCCCATGAGCTACCTGTGAAGGTAAACTAATTTATACCTACTTGTCTGTGGTGTCATCTATAACAAAAGATTTGTGGGAGTACTTTCATCAAGCATACATACAGATTTTCATTACTTTTTTCTAACCACTTTTTTTGTGTGTGTGTCTTTCAGATCTTCTAACACCTTTTCACAGCTGCTCTGTGTGGAGAGAATGTGACTCAAGGAGTGCCTTGGTTTGAAGTCTGTACAAAAG